TAGTATAAATGACCTGAACTTTCTTGAAATGAAATAGAAATAACACTAAGTTTCACAAATGAAGGTTTTGAAAATTGTTATTTTTGCAAATCTACTTAATGAAGCTTTGGAAGGCAGTCTTGTGCATATGCTTTTTTATTACACTGGGCAAGTAAACAGAGATTACTTTGACTTTTCCATTTCCCATTTCCTAGAATTTGGATCTGAAATTACAGTCACATTACTCCATGTCATTGCAATGCCTTTTGGCCAGAGATGTTTCCTATAATGAAAGGTGTCAGTGCACTAAATAAGGAAAGGTTCATATGACTGCTAAGAGGATCAACACAGTGCAACTGACATGATCTTCTATTTTATTAGCCATTTGGGCCAGTATATTGAGACGTTTTTAAGTAATTTGAAGAGTATATATGGGTAAAAAGAAAATTTCTTACTATCAAAATGATACTATAAGGTATAAATGAATGAGAAAAAATAATGAAAATACTTTTTAATTTTCTCTCTGGTAGGGAAAAATCCCTTTAATCTTGCCATGATTTATGTCCACATATATATTTTCCCATTAAACTTGTCTGTAATAATGAAAATAGAATTACAGCAGAACTTTTGAAGTCGTTTGGTAGAAAATTCCTTTCACATAACGTATCCCAGAGAAAAAAATTATAAAACCAATTCAACATAGTCATTTAAGTTAACTGTTTTAAGTACCAGATGAAACTCTGAAATCCTCTAATCTTTTAAGAATACATTTAATGCATTATTCATGAGTTTTGTTGTTAATCTTACTCAAAACCTTTATTCCTTTGGTACTTATAGACTGAGAAAAGTCCATAAGCCTCAATCAATTTTATCTAAATGTTACTCAATCTTCCATTATAAAGACTTGGACAGCCTCCAGAGGTAATGGGGCATGTGTAAATATTACTAAGCAATTCTACTGAAGATTCATGGAGTGGACACAGCAAGGATGAACTGTATGTGAATGTCTTGGTGGAGATGACATTGTCTTTTAGTTCGCAGTAGTTATGGTGGTTAATGAGCCTCTACACAGCTTCAGCATCATACTTTTTTTGTTTTTTGACAAGTTAAGGGACTGTCTTTTTTTTATGTAAAGCACATTTGTTTAGTTTCCTGAAACCACAGAAATTTAGAGAGTTGACAGACAGAACTATAAAGCTCCCGAAGTGCATGAATTGTATTACCTGAGGAGTTCTGCTAATGCTAAACAAGAGAGCATCTAAGCTTTGTTCTAGCTCACAGGCCTTATCAGGGTTTGTTTGTACCAGAGGGAACTATGGCTTCATGTGAGAGACTGTTCTTGTCAACCACAGGAATTTTATTAGAGGGATTTATCTAGACCACTTGGGTATTTTAGGATCAGTAATTGTCTAGTGTTAAAAAGTATTAGTATTCAAAAGATTTAACAGTTGTAAATCATAGCCACCAGCCAGTCAGAAGGACAGCGGCTATACACAGGAACAGGGTGAGCAGGCTAGCCGTGCTGGTCTACCCACTGAGAAGCAGCCTCTTTAACTGTCATTTCACTAAAGGGCTAGACCTAATTATGAATGTTTTGATCACAACAGTCTTTTAGCACATTTATTTTTTCTTGTAGAAGTATAATGTCTTGAGATAAATTGACCTGTTTTTCACATGTGAGCAAATACATTGTTACTTTGTGGTATTCATTAGTAAGGAGCTAATAATTGTGGTGAACTGCTCGAGGTCAGTGAGAAAATCCTATTAATCTTTGCAGCTCTAGCCTTTGCTGCTCTGCAGGACACAATGTGAATGTTTTCAAAACTTGTGGACAAAAAAAAAAAGTGCCATCTTTGTCCCTTTTTAAAATTAAGAATAGATCTAAACTATTAAAGCATGGAACAAATAACTAATTTTAGCTTTTAAGTACATTTCAGCAGAATGGGAAAAGATTTTTATAAACTATGCAACAGACAAGGGACTGATATTCAGAATATACAAGGAACTCAAGCAGCTGTCCCAAAAATAGATGCTCAAACCTATTAAAAGATGGGAGAATGACTTGAAAAAAACACTCCCTTGAAAAAATTCTCATCATCCCTTATTATAAGGGAGATGCAGATCAAGACCACAATGAGATACCACCTAACATGAGTCAGAATGACTAAGATTAAAAAACAAAATATAATAAATGCTAGTGGGGGTGTGGTGAAAGGGGAGCTCTCTTAACATTGCTGGTGGGAATGTAAATTGGCCCAGCCACTGTGGAGAACAATTTGGAGATTCCTCCAAAATCTACAAATAGAACTACCATACAATCCAGCAATCCCACTCCTTGGTATCTGCCCAAAGGACAGAGGGATCCTTAGTCAGAAAAGTGCTTGCACATCGATGCTGCATTATTCACAATTGCTAAGACTTGGAAACAACACTAATGCACACGAACAGATGAATGGATTGAAAAAGTGTGGCACATATACTCTATGGAATACTACTCAGCCATAAAACAACAAAACCCTGGCCTTTGACAGAAAGTGGAAGAATACGGAGGGTTTACTGCTAAGTGAAGCAAGTCAGGCTATGAAGGAGAGACATTGGACGTCCCCACTTAATATATACCGAGTGTCCGCACTCTGACTGAAACTGATTGATTAAAGGAAATAGAAACAGTGTGAATACCAGATTCAGTGTGAGAAGAGGGAGGGTGGAGTAGAGTCTGAGGAAGGACATTAAAGAGAAAAATAGAGAGACAGGGCATTTATGGGACAATGAAATGGGTTATTTTCTGTTGAGGGATAATCTTATGGTATTGTCAACTGGACCAGTGTGAAATGTACACATGTTGGAATTTTCACTCTGCAAGCTAAGTAACGTGATTGAATGTATAAAATAAATGGAAATAATTGTAAAATAATAATTAAAAATAAATAAAAATACGTTTCAGGGCATGGTCTATCTTAGATACTTGAAAATAGCAGAGTTCCTTTGATTTGTAAATGTGAAATTATAATCTCCAGTGCCTCAGGAAATTCCCTAAAATAGAGTTATAGCATTTTATGCTAGTACGGTTCCTGAAAGCCTTGCCAGTACTTAGGGATGTTGTTACTCATGACTGGACACATAGTTTCAAAGAATCAACAAGCTAATTAAAAGGAATTGTAGAGGGGCCAGCAGGTGATGTGGTTAAGATGCTGGACTGCCACATGTGACACAGCTCCTGTCCTGAACATGGTGGCTTGAAAATCATGCTGGGCATATGTTCATACGTGCCCAAAATCCCAGGAGGAGAATGGAGGCAAAGGGATTGTAGCATGGACATCCTCCTGGGGGGATAATTTCTCACTTTTTCTCTCACTGCCTCTCTAGTTGTGCAGTGAGCACATGTGCTCTATGGCAATAACCTAACAAATAAATAAAGAAAAAGAATTATAAAAAAATCTGTTTAATTTTTCTATTGTAAGAATGCTGGTAAACTTAGAACCATGGGTGGAAGTGCTAAAATTTAACAATCCACCACACAGAAAAATTTCTCTGTACAAATGAGAGCTGTATGCATAGATTATTACAAAGAATTGCACTTTATTCATTTATTCTTTATTGTATTCACTTATTCCATTTCAATGGTACAATTATTTATTGAGTAAGCCTAATTTGTGCCAAACACCAAGCTCATTCACAACTTATATCTAGTAAGTCTTTAAAAATTTCATTGTTGGAACCAGCAGATGGTGTAATAATAATGTTGCTGGACTCCCACATTGTGATTGCAGTTCTAGTCCCGGACCCAGTGGCTTAAACTCACACCAGGCGCGTGTGCGTACGTGCCCAAGATCCCGAGAGGAGAATGGAGGAGAAGGGATTGCAGCATGGCCATCCCCCCCTGGGGGTGATTTCTTACTTTCTGTCTCTCTGTCTGTCTGTCTTTCTGGTGAGCCCATACACCTTATAACAAAAACTTCTCAAAAAAAAAGGAAGGAAGAAAAGATTAACAAGAAAAAAAAAAAAAAGAATTTTACGCCCATGTGCGTTATGTGTGGAAACACCCCATGACCCCATGATGTGTAACTTGAAGAGATGTTTAGAACCTGGGCTATTTACAATAGTATCTTAACAAAAGCAACAAAAAATTTTTATACAAGCAACAATACAGAGGAAAAGGACTTTTAGTTTCCAGGTAGCAGGTTGTAGGAAGGTACTATATGGTGAAACCAATGGAAAATAAGGGCTAGTTAGTAGGTTTGTTATATTGAGTCCTTGCAGTCTCTCTCCCGGTTAATAATGGTCTAGAGTTATCTCCAGTAATTAACTTCTGTCCTTCCTGTAGAGACAGAAGAGGGACACCTCTGTAACTTTATGTCTGCTTTTAGGCAAATAGGGAAAGGACAGAGAACTTTTATCTGTTTCCTCTCTGTTGCCTTCAGCTCAAAATTGTACTTATGCCAAAGTGGCATTTTAGCGATGGCAAATTTGTTTCCTTTCACATAAAAATTATATAATGGAGTTATGCATCTTTCATTTATTTCACTGTATTAAGACAAATCATATATATCCTCCCTTTCTTAATCACTAAAATGGCCATTGATCAAGGCTTTAGTGATTTGAAATAATAACTAAATTTCTTTTCTCTTGTTTTTATTTCTTAGTATTATTTTTTTCATTTAATTTGAAGCATATTTTGGAAACCTGTGATATTTGTCAAAGAATTAAGGAACTGATCAACTGATTTTTCTTCCAGCAATTTTTTTAATCAACTCTCAGCACTTTAAAAAGAGTTAAATAAGTGTCAAGTATAGAATAAACTGCTATTTGGAGAAAAATCATATTTTAAAATATTAATTGGGATTGACTTTTACCATTAAATACACAATCCACTTATTTCATGATTTCTATAGAAGATCATAAGGTTTTCAAAGGCTAATCAGGAAATGAGGTTCACAAGAAGTTTTTTTCCCATAGCTTGGGAAATAACTGCTCTAAGCTTGCGGCATTGTAATGTTTGTTTTTGTTTTTATTCCTGTTAGGAATCTTTCCCTGAAGTTAACAAAAGATGTTGAGCAGGAAGCCAGGTGTCCCCATATCAGCCGAATGCCTGGCAGTCCATCTACAGATTGGCCCCTGCAAGGTGTGGAAGAAAACGGAGGCATAGACTCTCTGCCTTTCAGACTGATGTTGCAGGACTGCACAGCGGTCAAGACGTTATTATTAAAGATGAAGAGAGTTCTGCAAGAGGTAATAGTTTACTCTGAGATGAATGTCTTTCAGTGCTGGGAGACAATGAAGTCTGTAGACCTGATTAGACCATGCTCTGTCAGGAATCACTGTGTGACCTTGGGCAGGGGTAAAGTGTCCTCTTGGAGCTCAGCTTTTCTTATAATACAAATGCAGAATTTAGAGTTCTAGGTTATAAGACACTCTTCAGCTCTAAAATGCTGAGATGCTGTGACAGAATTGAAAAAAAAATTGATGCCAACTCTCTCCGTTTTGTCAGGTAAGGAGAAATGGGCAGCACTTGTATAATTATGTTTCTATTATATATTATAAAGCTATTGCGAGGGCTGTTACATATCCTTCACTTTCATGATACTGGAACTTTATTTATATGTTATCATTAAGGTATTTTAGTTAGTCATGTTTGTTCTAGTTAATAATCAATCCAGGAAAATTCAATGTGAAGGCTTGAATGATTTTCCCCAGTGCACACAGATGCCCTCCCACAACCTATGCGCTGTCAAGGAGTGAGCTAGTCTGGAAAATGCATTGTGGGATTTTTTCTCGTTTACGCCCAGAAATCAGGTTCAAGTATGTTATGTAATTTTTAATTAAAATTATTCTTTTCTTTCAGAATGTCTATAGAAAGCACACAAACTATTATAATATTTTTACATAGTAATTTAAAGTGAGGATCAGAAATTTTTGATAAATAATGTAATAAGAGTGAATTTAAGGCAACAGCCTGAGATTTGTGACTCCAAATTCAGTAACTTTTTATTATATCCTACTATCTTTCGATAGAGTTTATTGGCAGGAAATATTAATGATGTGAGAACTACAAATGGCTACTTAGAATGAGTAATAGTATGACTACCTTATAATGACGATTACTAATATTTTTTAATACTTTGATAGCAGTAATAATAATGCTGGCAGCTACCACAGGAGAATAGAATTGAATAAAGAAGAAATAAGGCAATGTTTACCATAGACTGTTGGAGAAATCTAGTCATATGTTTACATCAGCTGTTATTAAAAGGAAAAAAAATGGAGAGAAATATTCTCTCTACCCCATACCAATTTATATCACTGGGATGATCTTTGTGTCTGACATCCTGGGAGTGGGATGTGGGAGTGATGCGCTCATGCTTGATCAACATAAGAATTTCTGGAAGGATGTGAGCTGGCAGTTAAGCAAAGGCATACAAATAAATTATGTAAGCTTATCATTAAACACATTATGTTTTTAAAAGGATAATCAGTACTTGAAGCTCATTTCCTATTTACTCTACTATTATCTAACTTGTTAACTTATTTACATTAATTCGGTTTATGTGCTAGAAGTATTACATAATAGCTACTATGTATATTTTTCAATTGTAGATTTATTTACACCATTTTAATAGCTCAAAATCAGCCATGTGGGAGTATTTATGCCACAGAAATTGGCAAGCACTGCAAATTAAGGCTTTTTTATTTTTGGCAAACCCGTTGTTAAATATTTACTAGCTTACTGGCTCTTCCCTGTATGTATGTTTATATGGTTTCTATACAGATAATATATGTATTTTTCCACATATGAATAGATAGTTTAGAATCTCCCTTCCATTGACTTAGCGTGCTGTCTGAACCTCTTTGGACAAGGCAAACTTAATAACAGCCGTTATATTACAAGATTTGAATTTCAAAGTCTATAACATTCAACTATTCATCTTTTTACCTCTCTCTTTGGTCTGAATTTTAATATCAAATCAATACAAATAAAAGGAAAGTAGGAAGAACTGACAGGAGGTGGCAAGAGACTTTCTTAGGGTACTTAATTTTATAATAGAAAAATATCCAGTGATATTGACTGAAGCCTCAATATTAGGAATACATTGAGTTTTTTTTTTTTTTTTTTTTTTTTTTTTACATTTTCATCTGTTTTTCTTCACTAGAGCTAATTTAAAGATGCTGAAGAGAATTGACTTAAAAAAAAATTGGCAGAGGGCTTGTGAGTTTCCAGAGAGACAGAAAAAGAGAGAGAGAAAGAAAGAGAGGGAGAGCGGACACTCTACTCCCTGGAGAATGGCCATACTGCAATCTCTTCTCTTTCATTTCTCCCTCCTTTCAGGACTTTGGGCATGCAAACACACATACAAGTCTCTTGGTCTGGGACTGGCTGCATAGTCAGCAATGTGGGATCCAGCTGCCTTAACCACCATGTCATGGGCTGGGCTGAGAATTAATTTTAAAGCTGGTGTACACTGAGCAATAACTGCTTGTGGTTTTTTGGCTCATACAGATAGCAGGGGGCATAGTTTTCATTATCAACAAGGAAAAAAAATATCATTATATCATTAACATAGATAACTGTTCTGATTATGGTATTTGTGATAGATGCCTTCAAAGAAAATAATCTGTTGAAATATTCTCTAAGCCAGGAATTTCAAACTGTTATTCACATTTCATTATCAAATTCAAGTTCAATACCAGCTACTCTTAGATTGATAATATCTTTTTAATACAGAAAAATATTTATTCCTATTTTATGACTTATTTTTATGTTGCATAGAAGTCTAACTTTTGTACACAGATTCTTTTGGATCTGCAAGAAATCTCTATTATCCTATTTGAAAGCTAAAATGACTACTTAATTTTAATATATCAGATTATATATGTTCTTATTTGAAATGTTTACCCCCTAATTACCTGAACTTAACACAAAGTTATACTTGTAAAGTATTCATATATTTTAGACATTCTTTTTTATTAACTTTTACTTTAATTTTATTCTTTATGTTTTTGCCAAGAAATATGTTTACAGTTTATCAATCCTTACTTCTACTTCATTGTAATATCCTTCCTTAAAATCTTGTCAGTATATTGGGACTAGCAATGGCATGATGTTTACATCACTAGACTCCCATATTCAACTGAGGTTCAAGTTCTGAACCTGGTGGCTTAAAATTCATGCTGGACACTTGTGCATACGTGCCCAAAAATTCCCAAGAGGAGGCAGGAGGAGAAGGTATTTCATTGCGGCCATCCTCCTGGGGGTGATTTCTTGCTTTCTCTCTCTGTTTCTCTGGCTGGCGACCACTTCTTGCAAATAAATAAATAAATAAAATAAAATAAAATAAAGAGAAAAAGAACTCTGTATTAACTAATTTACAGGAATACATTATATTATCAAAAATTAATATAGGTTTTAAGCTAACCAAAACAAACCAATAGGAAAAAATGAATTGATAAATCTTGATTAGGATAACTTTTGTTTATTTTTTTCCACTGGTTTCTTTGAAACTTTAGTAGAATGTAATGTGTTACATATTTGTAAATAAAGGTACATTTTTTTCTCATGATCAAATTATATTTTTTCCATTTTCCACATACAGTATTTGAAAATATTCAGAGATGGTAATGGTGATGTCACAGATAATTGTCACCAAGCCTATTCAAGATTGCCTTAGGGTTGTAAATAATTACTACCTGGTTAGGAGGATATTGCAATAGTTAATAAATTACTGCCCTTAAGTTTCTAGAACTGATTTAAAGTTGTAAATCACTTCGATCAATGTCCTTGGAGAGCTCTACATAGCCTCTAAAATATTTTGTCTTTCAAATAAACTTGTCTATGTAGTCAATGTTACCCATACTATTTTAAAAATGAACGCTAAGATCTATTCTTACTATTATAAAACTACCTTTAAAATTTACTTTTTACTAATGTTTTTACAAGGTATCACCTGTTTAAAACTTTTATGAAATGTTTATTATTGTAACATGTTAGCAAATAATATTCTTCAAAGATTTGTTATAATTCCTCCATCCCTACTCCCTATACATTTTAATTTATATTTAGAAAATTTAGTAGGGTGTGTAATAGCAATATCTTGACTCATTTGACATTAAAAATTTTAGAGACTGTCATCCATAGTGCAGTGGTTGAGCACTGTGCAGTGGGAGCTATTGATAGATCCCACATGGCCAGCTGAGATCAGAGTCCCAATCCTGGGATCTTGAAAAACATGCTCAGTGCATGTTCACATATGCCCAGGATGTAGAAAGGGAGGAAAAAGCACTCTTTTTTTGGGGGAAGGGGGAGTGTTTTATTTCTTCTCTCTGGGACTTGTATGTGCATTCTGGCATTAAAAGAAAAGTTATACAAATCTTTAATGAATAAAAACATGTGGATATAGAGAGATGAATTTATTCAAACAAAATAGTCAGATCAGAAAAAAATCAGGGAATTATTCATCTGAGAATCAATTAATTTAAAGGTCCATTCAGTTGATACAAATATTTGGGCTGCGGAACATTTGGAAGCTATTTGCCATTGATTAAACAGTTCTTATCCATTTTTCTTTTTGTCTTCTCTCAACTACCTAATAGTTCAAGCTTTGATTTTTATTTTTTGAAAAATAGTAATAATGGAAAACGTTCAAAGATAATTTTCTATGTGAAAAGTTTTTATCATAAGTATTATTTACAACTATATGACAAAAGCTAGGTTGTTTTGAACTTCACCATTTTTCAGTGTTTGGTGAGAATTTTCAGAGGAATGTTTTAAGCACATTTCAGTGAAATGAATAGTTACAGTAAGAAGTTTATAACTAACTAACTTTGAGAGGAAAATAGTAATTTTCTATATAGAATAGAAACTACAGCAATGGATAAATATAGGAGGAAAAAGCAATATTGAAGAGTCATAGAGTAAAGACATGCACGAAAGTCAAGCAATTACCTATATGAATGTAGATTGCAATCTAATAATTAAATTTCTCTTATACTGACCTATTGAAAATAACAAAATTACAAGTTTTTGCTGCCTTCTTTGTGTTTATTTTGTTTTGCTTGCACAATAATGTGTTAAAGTTAAAATTTATATGCTGAAAACTGAAAAAATGCAAGAAAGCTAGAGTGGCTAATATTTAAGTAAATAACAAAATGAGTCATATGAACAGAAACAAAGAGCTACACTTTAGAACGATAAGAGGCAGTTCATTAGGAAAACTTAATAGTCATGCATGTGAAGG